CCAAAACTGCATTTATTTGAACAAAACTAGAGGGCAAAAATGTGAAATATTATTACAATTTTTAAAAAATACAGTAAAAACAGTAATATTGTGACATATTATTACTATTTGAAATAACTGTTTTCTATGTGAATATCTGTTAAAATATAATTGATTGCTGTGATCAAAGCTGAATTTTCAGCATCATTACGCCAGTCTTCAGTGTCACATGATCTTCAGAAATCATTCTAATATGCTGATTTGCTGCTCAATTATTATCAGTCAATACTGGTGCTCAGTTATTAGTAATAGTTCATATTATTATCAATGTTTTTGTTGCTTAATATTTTTGTGGAAACCATGATACATTTGATTTATCACAATTCTTTAATGAATAGAAAGTTCAAAAGAACAGCATTTATTTGAAATATATATTTTTTCTAACATTATTACATTTTATTAAATTTAATGCATCATTGCTAAATAAAAGCATTATTATTTTTTTTTTACTCACTCCAAACTTTTGAATGGAAGTATGTCAGTTTCTACAAAAATATTGGGCAGCACAACTGTTTTCAACATTGATAATAATCAGAAATGTTTCTTGTCACGGTGCCACTCAGTGCACACAAACTCCACAGCACTCAGCCCACCGTATTCAACTTCGACCTCCGCAGGCTCGGCCAGCTCAACTACATCGAGGTGGAGATGGACAAAGTGTCGGACTCCAGCGGGCCGCACACCCCCAAAACCCCCACCACGCCCCTGCCGCCCTCAGCTTTGATCACAGAAATAAAATACTTTTTAACATATTATCACATAGTAAACAGTTATTTCAAATAGTAATATGTCACAATATTACTGTTTTTACTGTATTTTTGATCAATTAAATGCAGCCTTGGTGAGCAGAAGAGATTTCTTCAAAAACTATTTTACAATCTTAAGTTTTTCAAACACTAAGAAGCTTCAGTTTTGTTATGCAAAATATATGTTCATCATTTTTTTTTATTTAGAGTGAAATATGACCTAGAAGGGACACGTTTTGTGAGATTCGCTCATATATATATATATATATATATATATAAATAAAGTATATGTACTATATTATTTTGTACTTTACAAGTGCATTCTTTCGCTCAACACATGCCATCTGTGGCGGGAAAACGCAGGTCTGAAACGGTCAAGTCAAACAGGTACAGATGAGGAAACACTACGACGGTTTAGCAGACCTCATTCACCAATGCTGTGATGTTTTACTCTCCATTTCACAAATATCGAAAGTGTTCGAGATTCTTGTGGTTACTGCGTCGATGTAAGTCACTCATTTTGCACTTGAGAGCAATAAAAGATGCTCACTACGGTATTCTAGAATCACATGGTACACTGCCGTCACTTTAAACGCTCGCTCTCCCTCCACAGCCCTTCTGCTCTGCTAGCGTGATCCCAGAGGAGTGTTTTCAGCCGTACGCTCGCGTCTGTCGACCGAACACATGCCGAGATCAACGCCAGTGAGTCTCAGAGCAGCTCTTTTCTTTCCCACGCCTCTTAGTCGCTAAGAAACCCTGATATTTGATGAGCGTTTGGTGCTACAGGTGATTTAAAAGGGTTTCAGGTGTAGAAATATTAATGATGCACTGTGTATCTGTGACTATATCTGTAATGGACAATATTATCAAGCCTGTACTGCAAGTGGATAAAATCAGGGCTTGTTTTTTCCCCAACTTAAACAGATTTCTTCAAATAAAATTTAATAAATAAATAAATAGCCTACTCTGTTTAAAAAATATTTTTCTATAACAGGTTGCAAATATACTAAACTATAGTGTTATTACACATGAAAAAAATCTAATTTTACATGAAAAGCATGCTTAAATTTGAGGTTGCTTGTCATAAAAAAAAGACACTGAAAAAAATGGTGTAGAAATAAAAGTTTCTTTAAATATAAAATCTTACAACAAGCATCTTTATCAAGAAAAAAAAAATTCTTACAATTTTTTTAACAGACAAAAAACTACTGAAAAAACTGGTGTATAACCTATATATATATATATAGTTTATACAAAAAAATCTTGGCATAGAAACAAGAAAATATTTTTCACTCAGAAAATCTGTAAATTTCAGAATTGATTACAAAGAAATGGCAAGTAACACTTTGAATTAAACATGACATTTTAATAGAGAGCCTAAAATAGTATTTGCTTGTTAAACATACTCCAATATTCTTTCTTTTACAACTTCAAAAAATCTTTTTTTACAGTGTATATTCATAATATTGGCCATAATAAACACATGTATCAGATAAACTGAATCAGTGCATCCCTGTCAAACACTAATGTATTGTTAACACTTTGAGATGTGTGCGAGACGTTCATCACTGTAGGCCTGTCTTCTTTGAGTATTTCACATCAGTGTTGTAAAGGTGGATAATAGAAACATTCTATTCGCGAGCTTCAGGTCCTCACGTGCTTTCAGAAGGAGCTGGAGGATGTTTGCGGTGCTGCAAACGTGTGTCTTAGCGGCAAATGTGATTGTATCGCTCGTCTGCACGCGCTCCAATGTTCAGAAGGGTTTCCAAACAAAACACAAATCTGTTTACGGCGTGTGGAGCAGGCGGACTGATCTAGACAGCCGGTTTATGTAAAGTTTCTGTTGTAAAGTTTATCGTATGCTCGAGCTGCATTATCATCATGTTATTTTCTACCTTTTTGAGAGAGTGTGCAAATATAGGAACGTTCACATGTATAAAACAACACTTAGTAGGTTTAGAAACAAATGAAATAAGTGTAAAAATCAAGATCATTTGCCAAATCTGAGGAAATGAATGATTGTTGGGATCTTTCAGGTGTGTGTGTGTGTGTGTGTGAGAGAGAGAGTGTGTGTGTGTGTGCGGTTACATTCCTATGTGAGTATTTCACAAGTATGGACGTTGTACTGAAACTAGTTTTGATATTTGCATTTGATATATTGGGTATTGATATCAGTTTAGTAAAATGTCTGTATTTTTTGAAAAAAGACAATATTGTGTATTTTGTGATATGTATACCATTACATCCCCTGCCATCGGTGCCAACTCTATTTTTGTAGCATGGCAAAAAAATCATTAAAAAAATGAAATGAAACTCCTGTCTGTTTCTTAAAGTCTCCATTAGAAAATTCACTTCAAAAAACTCTAAAAACTATTTAAATTTGTACTTGTTTCTGTTCACCAATCCAGTGTTATTTTAGTATTATTGAGATACTATAATAGTTTTCATTAATATTTTGAAATTACAGTTTTTATCAGTATTTCTGAATTTGTTTTTACTTCGTTCAAGTTGAAGTAATTTTGACAAGATTTTTTTTTTTTTTTAAATATGTCTGTATAGTTTCATTCTTTTTTTTATTTCAGTTTGAGTAAAATCATATGAGAAATGTTGCCTTAGCAACTAGCTAAAATAAAAATAAGATTTTATGTTTAATTTTCATTTTAGTTCACTTTCATAGTTCATGATTATAGAAGTTTACCAAACATTGACTATTTGCGCTTCTGAAAAACACAGAAATGTAAAAAGGGTTTACGATCTCAGCGTCATTGTCATGGATGCACTACTGAAATTCAACTAAAAGGATATTGTGCATATGAACAACTTTTATGCTTTTTTGCAGCAGATTTTTATGAAAAACATTAATATGAATTTGGCATTTCTCTTCTGGGATGGAGGTTATTTTTTGACACATTTCGTTACAGATGCATAGAAATTACAAGCTAATTTAATCCCATGTTTTTTTGGTTCCTGTAGTGTGACAAAATCATTTTTCCAAAGAACAAATATTGCATGTCATCTATCCAATTACACGAGAAACTGTACTGTAGTCTAATAAATGGCATATTGGGGCAAAGTGATGAAATGACAAAAAACAGCAACCAAAGCCAATTACCTCATGATTAGGAGTCAATGAATTATTCAAGCAATGCTGAACACTGAGAAGCAGCACACTGACCACCAGAGGCCAGTACAACACACC